GTCAATGACGTCTCCACAGCCCAGGCCTGGGCCTCCCTCGGGAAACCAGAACCCAGGCAGATGGAAGGCAGTGCCATGCAGTAACACAGCCTCCACCTTCCCACCTCGGGACAGGGCCTCCCAGGGGCCCAGCCCAGGTGAAGCCAGCCAGCAGGAGTCAGCCTCTCCGGCCACATAGGAGAGCGGAGAGAAAGTGTCAAGAAATGAATCTGAGGGCAAACCGGCCCAGAATCAGCAGTTTCCTCTTCCCTAAAACAGACAGAAACCTACGTCAGGCAGCTGTTAAGAGAATAATGACTGTAACAAAATTGTCAGGACTGAGGCTCACCCATGTCAGCCCCTTCAGACGTGGAGGGATGCTCGGCTGCCTGGACCCAAGGAAGGCTTTAGCAATGGTGCGATGCTTCAGGGACAGATAGGAGGGTCATCAGACACCTGAAGAGCAGTGTCCCGCTGGACACCAGGTGAGCGGGGGTCAGGAGCTGAGGCATAGGCTGCAGGTGACTCAGACTGTGAGAGAGGCCGGCAGGCCTTACTGACGTAGTGGGGACAGGCCTGCCGATGCCCACGTACGCTGTGTTTAGCCAGCTCCATCTTCACACCTCTCCCCCACCCCACCCTGGCCCAAGAGTCCTCCCCAACGGGCGGAAGAGCCATGGGTGCCTGCCCACACTCACATCCCTAAGCATCTCTAGCAGCGGCTGTGAGAGCAAACCTGCGCTTGCCAAGCATATGCTGACAGCCCTCAGCCCACCCCCAAACCACAGCACCCCTCTGTGTGGGGTTTCTCAGAGCTACTTGCCTCTTCCTTTTTGTTTTCCTTTCTCTCCTTTACAACCGTGGAATGAAGTGTGGGATCCTAGCCGCCAAACAGCCTCCTTATTAGCATCAGAACTAAAGTCAAAACACATTATGCTTGGCTAATACATTTATTTTTTATGTAATGGAAATGCCATCAAAGCATAGTTAATCGGAATTGAATTAAATCATAATTGGAGCTCTTGCGCACAAGGAAGAGAAATTACTCTTCATTGTTGCATACTGAAAATGCACCAATTGTAATTTACTTTTTAAGTAAATGACCATTGTTGGCCAAAGGGGAGTGTCCAGCCCTGGCCCTCCAGGATGGTCCCTGCCAGGAGACCTTATGTCCAGAGGTCCAGAGGCATGGCAGTAATGGGAAAATGCACTGATTCAGGGTGCAGCCCTTTCTAGCGGGGCAACGTCTTTAATCCCTTCCCCGTGAGAAGAGGATGCTGATGCATGCGACAAAGAGAGGTTTTGGGAAGCAAAAGAGATGACACAGTGTGAGTTGCCGGTCTCTGGTTAGTCCTCAGTAAAGGGAGCTCAGACTCAGGTCTGGTTCCTGCACCGTGATTTGTCCACCGTACCAAGGCCTCATAACCTGTATCAATGGCTCTTAGTCTGGCTACCCAGCAGGAGTACAGGGAAACCCTTTAAAAGCACATACCTGATTCCCACCAGGGCCTTCCTATCAAGATCTCTAGAGGTGGGCACCTGGGACACGGCGGGGTCTTTTGTAAATTCCTAGGTTCTGGTGCCAGCCAGGTTTGAGAACCCATAGAATAGATCTCACTACTTTCCTAGTAACGAGATCAACCACACTTGTGTTTGTCTGCACCTGAGCAGGATAAAACAGACCAAGTGGTAGCTTCTGGGAGACTTAGTGCTCACAGAGATGGAAGAGCTCAAACCAACATCAAGCAAGCATGCGCACACCTGCACACATACACCTGCCCAGAAAAGCGTCCACCCCTGCAACACGTGGTTCTTGCTCACTGCCCTGCCTCAGTGTCTCCAGGGAGTGATTGGCCTCCACCTCTGGGAAATCCTCCTCCTCCCAAGCCATGATTTGGGGATATTTGTCTTCTCCTCCATAATACATGTGGAGCAAGTGAGAATCTTTGTCATCACCCTGAAATGAGGGTGGGAATCATGTATTGAGAGATGAGTCTGATGAGCCCAGTGATTCCCATCACTGGCAATGATTCCTGAGCCAAGTGACCCCCCACAGATGCTCACTCAGCCCTGCCCTCCCAGAACTTCCAGGCTGAAGGTCACACAGTGGAGGGGAAGGGATAGGAGCTCAGGTTTCGAGGGAGCTTAGAGGGACTTTGAGTTCTCAGCAGTGTCTCTAACAGCAAGGCCATCCAGGAGTAACGAGGAGTACTGCAGCAGAATGATCACCTCCTCAGCGCCTAGGAGTCAGATAAATGCATGACCTGCAGGCATAGACGTTATTATGTCCACTTTAAAAGCTGAGGAAAGTGAGGCTCAGAGAAGCTAGGGCACTGACCTGATACCCCAGCAGGCAGAACTGTAGCAGGGATTGATCTGACATTTACACGCTCACTCCATCCTGCCGTGCGTGCGTCTCCATCAGAGGGCAGGAGGCACGGAGAGGGGAGAAAGAGAAAACCTCTCGCGAAAGGACATCTTTCACCCACACACCAGATCGCAAATACCTACCGTAGGACTTTGCCACGGCTGGATTAGCTGAATGAGAACCTCTGACCCAGGGAAAGGATAGAGATTCAGAGAACATGGGCCTAGAGTCAGACAGCCCTGGGTTTGTTCACATCTCAGCTCCCACATTTCCTAGCTGTGTGTCCTCGGGTAATTTAGTTAGCTGTTCTAGGCTGATTGCCCATCTGGAAAAATGAGAAGAATTTGCCCTGTGGGTTACGTAAGTGCTAGACCAAATGCGTGTGAGTACTTAGCCTAGAGTCTAGCAAGTAGCAGGCATGTGACAAGTCAGAGCTGACACTGGCAGTAGTGGTCATCATAGTAGTAAAACGCTCAACATAGCGCCCGACACATAGTAAATGCTCGGTAAATATTTCTCCTGTGCCTACTCTTAGGCTCAAACTCCCCAGGCTTTCTGTAACCAAGAATTCTGGAGGCCTGATTTCCAGTGCTGGCTGTGCCTTTTACAGGCTCTGTGACCTTAAGAGTAGTCACATTACCTCTCTGGACTCCAGGTTTGCCATCTCTGAACCTAAGGAGTTGAGCTGAAAGGATGCTAGTGAACTTGCTCCAGCAAGTCGTAAGAGCCTCAATCCACATGCACTGAGTGGAGGGGGATCTGTGGCCCATTTTATTGTCTCCAGAACCCAGATAGGCAAGAATCATTTCTTGCAAACTGATGGATTCAAAAGGACTAGGCAGAATTGCCTGTGTAACAAGTGATACAGGAAAATAGGACACGAGGGGATGGTCATGTCCCAGGTCTCGGGCAAGTCCCTGAGATGCCCCCTGCCAAGTGAAGGTCCTTGGCTTTTCATAAGAAAGAACCAGGAGCAAACCATAGTTGAGTTAAAGTAGGCTGATTCAGAGAGATGCACACTCCATAGACAGCGTGCAGGCTACGTCAGAAGGCCAGACAGGCTACGACGCTTCAGGGAGTGTTTAAAGTAAAAGTAGGTGCACATTCCATAGGCAGAGTGGGGGCCATCTTGAGAGGCGAGAGGCGAGGCGAGAGGCAGTGACCTCAGAGCGTGGATGGGATCATCTGGGAGAGTGAGATCGGCCACGAGGCGAGGGGGTGGTGAGTTTTTATGGGCTTGGTAACGTCGTATGCTCACAAGTGGGAGGGTTATTCCAGCTACTTTGGGGAAGGGGCAGGGATTCCCAGGAATTGGGCCACTGCCCATTTTTTGGCCTTTTATGGCCATCCTCGGAACTGTCGTGGCGCCCGTGGGTGTGCCATTTAGCATGTTAATATATTACAGGGGGCCTGTGATGAACCTCAAGGTCTGTGGGAGCTGACTCTCCCACCGTCTTGGTTCTGGCTAGTGTTTGTCCAGTCCTCAATTGCTGTGTCATTCTTCTGACGGTTGTGCCCTGCCCTCTTCCCTCCTGTCTCACAGGGATGGCAGGCCCCTGGTTTTCCACACTTGGTCTCTAACCACTGAGGAAAAGATGACCTGACAACGAACTGGGTTGAAATGAATTATGATACGGTTATCCAAAAAAATAAAAACTAAAAATAAAACCAAAAAAAAAAAAAAGCCCCACTTGAGAGGTCATAGTCAGGAGAAAGGAAGAAGACGTTTCATCCAAAAAGTAAAAGTAAAAAGTAAAAAGGCGCAAGAGCTTTCAAACATATATGTTAAAAGCATCTAAAACTCACAAGTGGATTTTTTAAGTCCAAAGTAATTTTTTTATGTTTGATAGTGGAGGTTTGATTCCCTGGGCTCTGTTTCCAGAGGCCTTGTTTTCAGCACAACTTTCCAGTATTACAATTAAAAACAAAAATCTAACATACGGGAAAAAAAAAAGCCTATTTTTCTCAACCCACTTAAAAATAGTGCCAGCTCCTCAGCCAGCCTCAGCCCTGCCAACACACCTGACCACCCTCCTGCCTGCATTAACTCATCTGTGTCCACATCAGCTCTCCCTTGCCCCCCACAGATACCCCTCCTCTGCAAGTCCCCTCATGGGGAGTCCCCATTTGCAGCCTAATTGCTCTGCACCACCTCTGGCTTATCCACGGTTGAGACTGCCATTAAAGGGGAGCTTTGCGTGTCTTTTGGCTTTATCAAAGCTCCTAGTTCCTTTCCTTTTGTGGCTCTGCCAGGATTGTTTATCAGGGTAATAAAGAATGGGGAGGCCGGGGAGAAGGTGGGAGGAGAATGGAGGGATGAGAAATGATGGCTGTGCCATGACCAGCAGTTACAGAGGGTTGGGGAAGGGAGAGGGAGTGGCATGAAGCAAAAAGCAAACAAAGAAACAAACAAACAAAAAAATTTGGCCCACTAAGAATTTTAACAAGGCTGGCCCTGTGGGCACTATGTAATTTCTTGAATTGATTAATCTGCTGCCTTACCCTAGAAAGGATTTGAGGAAAGTTGCCGCAAAAGCGCATTCATAATAAACTTAAGGAAAATAAGAAAAGGGACAGGGGAGGAGAGGAAAAAAAATGTGTTTTTTAGTAATTTTTTTGTGGGGGAGGTAATTAGTTTGTTTGTTTGTTTAAATGTAAGTACTGGGGATTGAACCCAGGACCTCCTGCTTGCAAAGCAAGCACTCTAACCCTGAACTATACCCTCCCCTCAAAAACAACTTGTTTAAATGAAATGGGAGGAAACAAACAGGCACCAGGTCTTCCAGGCTGCCCAGGCAAAATCTGATAGTTTACACCAGCTTCTTATCTCAACGGGAGACCGTATGACAGTTCCTTGGGTTAAGACATGGTTTTCCCACACAAAACTCAGGAAGCAATTCCTGAAGTGGGGCAGTTCATGCAGATTAGGGAGTGATGTGCAAGGGTCAAAGATGCTGCTGCTCTCAGGGAGTGTGTTAAATCCAAAGCCTTAGTCCTACAGGGCAACGCGGGCAGTTTGAGGGCCAGGGGTGCTGGGGCCAGAGCTGCACCTGATAACGCTTTGACCATAGCCAAGTGTCAAACTGTCCTTTCATGAGCACATATGAAAACGATTCTACTTTGAGGTTTCTGTGGGGTGGGGAGACCCTTGAGACTCGGGAACAGAAAGAAAACATTTCCCGAGGTTGCAGGTGCGTGTCCCACATCACAATTCAAAAGTTTTATTTCTTTACATTTCTAGCAAAAGGGTGCCCTATTTGTCCTGTGTCTTTTTTCGCCTCCTGGTGCCCCACTGACAATCCCGTGCAGTTTGAGAAGCACCAAACAGAAGGTCTAAGGGGTCATCTCTAAGCCTCCTTCCATGCCCTGAATTCTGGGACTCAGGCTTTGAGAAATGATTCAGCAGCTGAGTTGGGTGTGAGCTATGGAGGAAGATGGAATCCGCCTCACAACCTGATCAGGTTGACCACCTGTCTATCCCCATTTTACAGATGGGAAAACTGAGGTTTGGAGAAAGCAAATTACTTAGGAAGCAAGATGATGCCAGGAGTGAGGTTGGTATCTGAAGAACAGGGCCATGCAGTTTTGATCCCAGGGCCACAATTTTTAGCATCCAGGGTATCACAGAAAAAGATGTTTCACCCACAAGATAGTTTTAAGTTCGAAGACAAATAATTTTCTGCATAAACACACAACTATCTGTGATACTGAAGCCACACGTGTCTCCCAAGGATCCTCCAATTATAACACACATGAAAGTTCTTGGAAAGCTATAAGCACTGTAAAAATCACATTATTTATTATTATTATAAGACAAATAGTGCTAGGGAATGCAGTAGGTAAACCCCCAAATCTCAGTGACTTGTAAAAGGTGATTTCCCACATCACAGGTGGCTCTCAGTCTGCAAGGACTCAGCAGTCACTCAGAGACCCAGACTCTTTCCATCTTGTGGCTCCACCTGCTCTGAGTCTTCTAGCAGCAAGAGAGCAAGCTCACAAGGGGAGGTGTGTGAGAGCCCTGCCTGGCGGGGGCACACATCCCATCCACCCACACTCCATGGGTGGGATTGAGTCACATGACACACAGAACAGCAAAGAAGGCTGGGAAATTTGTATAGCCGATAGCAGCCAGCACCAGCAGTTCTGCCCCCCTGTTTCTCCTTGGCCTCAACTCTCTCTTTTCCCTCCCACAGTTCTATCGATCTCTGAAGCCCTGATATTCTGTTACCCATCTCCCACGTAGCCTGTCTTGCAGGGTTTTTGAGAGGATCGAATGTGACAGTGATGTGAATGCGTTTATGCCAAGGTCCTGCACAAAGCAGGGGCCCCACGTCCTTCAGCTCCTTGTGACCCTGTCAAGCGGTTCTCAAGATGAATTGCACTTTGCCTGTCTCATGACTCTCAGTGCCGTGTGCTTAGATCGCTTTACCATCATTAATAATACAGACACACCCCCGGGGGCAGGCACATGTTAGTGATGGGGAAGCGGAGGTGCAGACAAAGGTTAAGTGTCCTCCCAAGGCAGCCCTGCCGAAGCATGTAAGCCAAAGAGTGACTTTTCCAACTTTAGAGCTATTAATTCTCATTCTTGCTGGAGGAGAAAGCTGACTAGAGAAGTGAGGGAGGAAATAAGACAGGAGGCTTCTCTCATAGGACCCTAGCCGGAGTGGCAGCAGTCCCTCCTACATACCCAATGCTGCAGGAGTGAAAACCCAGCCCTCATATTTACTGGCTCTGTGACCTTAACCAAGTTTCTTACCCTCTGTGAGCTATCTAGTGTGCCTCAGTTTTCTCATCTCTGAAGTGGGGAAAATCATCTGTTTCGTAGAGATGTGGTAGGCTTAATCAGGATAGTCTGTATCAAACGCCTTTATATCTGGAACACAGAAAATGCCCCAAAGATGTTGCAAGGTGATGATGATGATGGTGATGATGGTGGTGATGGTTATGATGAACAGCTCCCAGCACCAGGTCTAATTCAAACGTTTCTGTCCTAATATATCTTGGAGGAAAAAAAGGAATCCTCTGTTGCTTCTGTAACATCCTCAGAGCCCATCACAGTCTTGGCCAATAAATCCTCTAAATACTTGGTGGTCAAAGTTGCACAGAAACTTGGTGACTGAAATTCACACAACAAGTTAATAGAAACTGGATTACGATTCTGGCTTTAATTACTCCTCTCTACTCTCTCTTCAGACAGAAATCTCCTCTCAGCCATCTAGACTCAGAACTGGCCAACTATGTAGTTGGCTGTGAGGCCTTGCAAAAAGTACTTCCATCTCTGTGCCTCAGTTTCCTCATCTACAAAACTGGAGTGAGAATTGTTCATGCCTCATAGGATTGTTGTGAGGATTAAACACATGAGGATTAAAAAGAATGTATGTTCCATGCCTGGTGCCGTCCATTTAGATGGCCCATCTAGAATGTTAACTATTTATAGAAGACTAATGGCAGTGCCCCCTGCAGGTGAGGCTAAAGTTTCTGAACAATCTGGCTAAAACAGTGTAAACTCAGAGCATTCATGACTCTAACTGGGTTGGAAAGGCATGGATGAATGGCAGGGGCAGGGTCCACATTCAAGGCAATTCTGTATCTCCCACAGTGTGCAGCCCAGGGGCTTGGCACTCATTCATGGGGAAAGAAATCAGATGGATGACATGACGTAGGTGTGGCAACCAATTGATAATAAAAAGACACCAAGCATTTAATGGAATTATGCTAAGACAACTTTATGTCTGGAATATACCAAGTGCCCAAATGGTATTGGATGATAATGACGGTGATGATGGTGATGATGATGGTGATGATGATGGTGATGATGACAGTGATGATGATAAAGATGATGATGGTGATGATGACAGTGATGATAATGGTGATGGTGATGATTAGTAGCTCTGTACAGATCACTTCAAAAGCTTCTGTCTCAATACATCTTTAAGACAAGCACCACACTAAGCACTCTACAAACATAATCTCATTTATTTTCATCCTCCTAATCCTGCAACAAAGATATTACCTCCATTTTATAGATGAGGAACCCAGAGCACAGAGTCCATGAACCACTTGCCAAAGGTCACCCGACTGTAAGTGGGGGCTGGGGGTGGGAGCCAGACCCAGGTCTGTGCACCTGCAAAGCTCTGATTCCTCATCACCAAGTGGTCCTGCCCACCAAGGCAAACTGACTTCACTCCCCAGGAGCTGCCCAAGGGACATGGGCCTTTGAGCCTGCAGTTGTTCAAAATAAATAAGGACGGATGGGTCAAATCCCTGCTCAGACCCTTGCTTTCTCTGTAGCCTCAGGCCAATAGTTTAATCACCTTGTGTTTCACTTTCTTCATCTATAAGCAAAAACTTATACTTAGCTACACACAAAGGGATTGGAAAGATTAATTGAACACTCCAGAAGTGCTTTTAAGATGAAAAATATGGATTATTTGCATTATTATTTTAATAGCCTTGGACTTTGGTGTCCCCAGTTTACACAGAGGTGGAGAGCTTGGAAGAGGGAGATTGGTGAGATTTGTTTTCTCCAGCCTCATCCTCTGAGCCAGGCGGGAAGACACAGACACCTCTCGATCTGAGTTTGAGTGTGGATCCTCCCTGCCATATCCTGCATGTGCCATGGCCCAGAGGGCTGACGGCCCTCTACAGCCATCTGAGAAGCCAGCATCCAAAGAGCCCGAGAACAGCAGCCTGCTCTCTGTCTCCATGACCAAAATGTGGGCACACCAAGGGTAGAGGCCATTTCTGTCTTTATCAGCGTATCCTGAGCACTTAGAATAGGCTCTTCTGCATAGTGGTGCCCAATAATTATATGCTGAATGATTGGGGTGAGTGAATGAATGAATGAATAAATGAACAATAAAATGAACCAGAAACTGTCAGAGTAGAGAGAACGCACAGGAGAGTCTCTAAACCAGGAAGAAGCAAAGGGGTCTTCCGATGGCCATCCATATTATGAGCACCTACTTTGTGCCAGACACTGTCATAGGTGATGGGATAGAAACAAAATTTGACAGTCCCTACCCTCAAAGAGTCCACAGTCTAAGAAAGAAGGGAAGCATCAAGGTCACTGGCAGTTACAGCGCAGTAAGGATGGGCTCTGATAGACAACGACAGAGCATCTCTTGAGCGATTGATTTCACCCGGAAGAACAGGGAAGCCAGAGGAAGGAGCATTTTGGCGGGACCCTCGTGGGAGGGAGAAAATGGTTTGCATGGAATGAGTATGGAAGACTCCCACTGTAGAATGGATGCTCCCAGAGGGCAGGGATTTGTGTGTGTTTTGCTAACTAATGCAGCCCCTACCACAGCACAGGGGCACAGGAAGATCCTATGAGCAAGCACGCGTGTGTGTGTGTGTGTGGTGCATATGCATTACAAAAATGTTGGCCAGCAGAAGCAAAATTGTGGACTTGCTAGGATGATGAACTACTTGATTCTGCAGTGAGGCAGAAATGTGCATTTGCTGAAGAGAGGTATGGTAAAATGGGGAAAATTTGAAAGGGCCTTGAACACCACACTCCCACATGGGCATTTGGAACGTTTCCTGTCCTCTGTCCTTGCATATTTCAATGTAATCTTTCAAGCAAAAATTTTTTCTTCTAAGGCTTTCCTCTGCCAGGCTTGAGGGCATGCTCGTAAAATGTAAAATCTGTTTAAATAATTAAACCTGTGGCCAAGAACCGTGGTCAGGGCAGAGGACGCTGGCCTGTGACATCGTAAA